CTCATCTTATCTCCTAAAGGGACAGAGGAAAAACTCCAGAGACAAACTCTGGAAATTTTTCTTTCACATAACTACTAGTGATTTTTTTTAATCTCTGAAAGACCTTAAGACAGACTCCAGAAATTAAGTGCCTACTATGAAACTGTGGTCTAGCAAGATTACAGGTTACTCTTGGATCTCAGGTCACATGTTATAACGATATGAAAGCCAGTGTCAGAATGAGATGAAAGCCTTCATTTAAGGGAAGTTAGTTTACAACATGTACTCTATTAATAACCTCTCTGAGCCACCAAAATATGATGGTAACTTCTTGATAAGGTTGATAAGGGATAGCATGAAATGTACACATAGTAAGTGGTACCCACAAATGACTGTGGTAACAATGGCTGTTATCCTTTAAATACAAGTAAAAGGAAGTGAGGAGATAAATAGCCAGTAGTCATTTGAAAGGACATTTAATTTCTTCAGTTAGTGTCAGGTAATGGCAAATTCAGACCATAGTGAGGTACTCTTATTTTCAGTCATTCTGGTACAGTTCAAAGTATGAAGTAAAAAAATGTCCATTAGGGAATATAAATTGATGCAATCAGTTTGAAGATGAGTTTCACTCTCTCTTGAAAAGTTGTCCCAGTATATTCTCTATGATCCGGCAGTTCCTCTCTTAAATAAATACTGTAGAGATAGGGCATATATAATGCCCCAAGAATCATAAGCAAAAAAATGTGACATTTTTTGTTTAAAATAAAATTATCAATCTATAGGTATACACTGGATATATAAATATGAATGTATACACACAAAAGAATACTATGTAGCAGTAAAAACAGATGAACTACAGCTGTGGTCACCAATGATGATCTTAGAAACACAACCCCACAGTGTAGAAGACCCCAGTTTGTCTCCATTTTCAAAGGAGGCAAAATTAAATCCTACACTATTTAGAGATGCATCAAAAGCAACATAAAGGCATTAAAGAATAGGGTTGGGGACACATAACACAGTTTTAATAAAACCAGTGATGGTCACTTCTCTATGTCATTATTTTATTTTTTGATGTATATGAGTCTTTTGCCCACATGTACGTAAGTAGGCCATGTGTGTGACTGGTGCCTGCAGAACCCAGAAGAGGAAGTTGGATCCTCTGGAACAGTGATTACAGGTGGTTGTTAGCTGCCATAGGGGTGCTGGGAACCAAACCCACATCCTCTGCAAGAACAGCCAGTGCTGCTGAGTCATCTCTCCAGCCCTTATATAATTAAAGTCTTTGAACATATTAGTGATCAAATAATTTTAAAAAGTATTTCACCACAAATAAATGATTATATGAGTTGAAAACATTAAAGAGATCAGAGACAAGGTGGGGAGGAGGAGAGTGCTTCATTAGAAAGGTGATGTGAACAAAGATTTGAAGAAGGTAAGCGGGTCATAGGGCTTTTCCAGGTAGTGGTGGGAAGAGCTAGAGCAAAAATCCAGGGACACAATCCTGAGTGACAATTAGAGAAACACAGGGAGGTCCAATGCAGCTGGAATGGTCTGAGTAAGGAGCACAGAATAGATGAAGTCCCCGAGGGAGGGCTGGGGCAGACCTCAAAGGCCATCACAAGGGATGTAAGCTTTTACACTCAGTGAAATGGGAAGCAGATGCAGGGATCAAAATGGAGAGAAAAGATGCAACATATTTCTAAAGGGTCTAAATGCTCAAAAAACATGGGAAATGACTAAATCACAACAAATCCTGCATTTGGCCATAGTAAGCACTCAGAAAGTATCTAGAGAACAAATGAATGTAATGCATGATTATAGAATGATTATAGAAACATTAGCGGTTGTAACCTCAAAGAACATTTAGTGCACATCATACATGTTAAATGAAAATCCCTGGCTGAAAATTAAATGTAGTTTATGCACTTAACTTTGGGCAGATAGAAAATTCAATGAATAGAAATGGGTGATAGACAGGTAGATGGTATATAGATACAGAAAGATGATAAATAATAAAAAGAAAAGTAGATGAAAAACTATAAGGAAATAGTACCATACACGTAAATGATTCTAAGTAAGTTGTTAAATTACAAATGATTTTGATAGCATTTTTTTGTATTTTTATATATTTACATTTTTTCTATAACAGTAATGCACTACTTTTATATGGGAACAAAACAGTAAATGTAGTTTCTTTTAGAAATTATCATAACCACATTTTTTCTTCATAGCTTCTATGACAAATGTAAGGAACCCTTTCCTTCCATCACAATCATTATTTCTTTGAGTGTCAGGGGAAATAGAAGGTATTTGCTATTCATTGGCTGAATTTGTAGCGAGCAGGCTGCAGCCCATCAGTGTGGCTGTCACCAGTAGTTCAATAAATCCGCTGGAATCACTACAGAAGAATTCCTAATGGGATCATGGAAACAATTTGGCTAGTAGAAAACAAATGATTAAAAAGTCATTACATTATCTACACAGGCAGGAGAATTGCCTAATTTAACCACTAAAGTCACTACAAAAGACAGAGATAATTACAGTGTAAATGGATACTCAAAATGAGACAATCATTTGATTTTAATGATACCTTGAGACAAAATTAGGAGTGTAGGCTAAGTGTGCCAGAATCATGTGGAATAGCTCATTAGCGCCCTCACAGGCAAAGAGTGCCAGAAGTGTGTGGAGCAGCTCATTAGCACCCTCATTGGACCCAGTGGGCTATGCTTAAATGCCCAATCTCCTCTGGGGCAATTCTTGTTAATTTCAGTTTGGTGTCTGGATCTAATGTCCTCAAATGCCTGAGGCCCACTTAGGGCATGCCAGAGGACAGGTTTCCCATGAGACACATCTCCTTTTAAGTTCCTACAAGGCTCATTTTGTAGCAGGATTTCAGCCTTCAGTAGCCAAGAACATGTTGAACCACCAGAAGAAAAAAAAAAAAAAAAAAGCACTAATTTAGTACATGTGGTATATGGAGTGATGAACAATAACCAAACAAAAGTTCTTTAGGGTACTGAAAGTAAGGTTCCTAGGAAACCTTTGACAATCTCTCAGAAAGCTCCTTTCCCTCCCTAACAGAGTTCATGCTTTCCTGAGGAGCTGGGGGGTTCCCTGTTCAACCAGCTCCTCTCTGCCTTAAGCAAGAGATACTGCAGAATTGAAGTGTTGCTCACTTACTTAACTCTGTAGCGGATTTTCAATCTCTACTATGTGCCTAGTTTTAAAAATGAAGTCCTTGCATCAAGGGAAGACAGTTAATTTATGGATGTTCTGTGGGATACATGCTGCAGAGGGTGCTGTAGAGCACAAGGGAAAGGCACCTGATCCTGGCCTCAGCAAGAAGGAGGGGTGACTAAATCTGCCTTCAGCAGGAAAGACCTAATTTATTCTTTAAAGAAATCAGGTGGAGAAAAGGCACTGGGCATAGTTATGACAGCATCCCACAAAAACATTTCCAAAACAAGCTCAATACTGCTGGTGTGCACTGTGATTGCTAAGTCTTTTTGTGGGGTTTTGGGGGATTTTTTTTGTTTTGGGTTTTTTTTTTTTTTAATGTATATGAGTATATTGCCTGCATGTGTGTAAGTGCACCTATGTTGTGCAATACCCACAGAGGTCAGAAGAAGGCATCAGATCCCTGGAACTGGAGCTACAGATGGTTGTTAACCACCATGTGGGTGCTGGGACTCGACCCCAGGTTCTCTGCAAGAGTAGTCAGTGCTCTTAACCACTGAGTCATCTCTCCAGCCCCTCCTTTTGTTTGTAATAAAAGAACTCCCTCTAATGATGCATGCCATGCATGTTACTCATGAAGTTCTTGGATGACACTCCTTTGTGATGATAAGTCTTAGGCTCCTAAGGTTTTAGTCTGAGTTTTTAGCCAAAAGTACAACTGTCTCACAATTCATTTTCAAGCAACCAGGAAATGGTTGTAGTTGTAGTTGTAGCTCCAACTATAGTTGTAGCTCATTGAAAGAGCAGTAACAAATTTTTATATGATATTCAATGTTTTGAAAAAGAAGTCTTGTAAAAGTGAGTTTAGGGTTCTACTGTGATCATAGAACAGAGATCCTGGAATTTCAAATCTGTCCTGACCACCACCTCTGTCATCACAGTTTCTGAGGAAGCCAAACCAATAAGAAATATTAGATGAATTCTAATCAAAATCCCACTTTATGCAGTTCTCTGATATTTTAATATAGGTCTGGTTTGACGTTATAAATTTAAATATTAATTCCTAGGTTTTCCCCCATTCCCTCCAAAATATAAAGATTGTTCAAATATAAGTGCAAGAAGAAAGAAATGGAGAGAAAGTAGGGGGAATAGAGAATAAGGGACAGAGAGAAACAGAGATAGAGCATCAGTTCCACATGGCAACTATCCTCTACCCAGCTACCTGTTCAATAAAAAAAGAATCATTACGGTGTATGTATTATGTAGTATTAGCTGCTATAATATATGAACCTACACATTTAGAAACAACTTAAGTCAATTTCTCATTTGTATTTAAACCAAAGCATACATTTCCGGTGACCGGAAGCCTTCTTCCATTCAAAGATCTAGGCTCTTTCTTCTGGCTCTGCCTGTAGAGTTCAGTTGTTTTAAATGCATACTTTATAAGTGGTATATATTATGATATGATGTTGATTGACCTCTGAAGGCCCATGTGTTAAAGGCTAGCTCTTCAGGGTGGTTCTGTTGGGAGGCAGTAAAATCTTTGGAAGATGAGGTATGTCCTAATAAGTAGTTCTTATACAACTTCTTGATAGTTCTCTCAAGATGGTGGTTATAAAGGCTGAGTTTGGCCCCAACTCCTTAGGAGCAGCCCTTAGGTAAATGGGGTCTTTCTAACAGAGAAAAGGCTCGTGGATGCCAAGGTAAGTCTTATATGGTAAACATTTTTATAGAAACAATTATAAAGGGGAATCAGATACCTCTGATTGGCTTGAAGGCTATTTATTTCTCAGTTATAAATTTAAAAAATACAACCCTGGGTTCAATCTCAATATCAAAAACCAAATGACTTTTTTTCCACAAATTTGCATGTCATCCTTGCACAGGAGCCATGTTAATCTTTTCTGTATAAAGTGACTTTTTTTAACCAGATGTGATGGTTTACACCTGTAATCCTAGCATGCAAGAGGCTAAAGTAGAAGGATTACCACAAGTTTGAGGTCAGCCTGAGCTAGATAGTGAGTTTCAGATCAGCCTAAGCTACAGTTTGATAGTCAGTCTCAAAAATAAATAAATAAATGCATACATACATAAATAATTGACAGGAATGAGCCATGTAAACAGTATAATAAGCTCTTAAAACTTGGTCTGGAGCATTTAAAGGGAAAGCTCTCCCCTTTTACCTCACTCTTTTCCAGTCTCATTAATCCCTTCTGTTTCTGAAGAATTCGTTCTTAAAACCATTAGATGTGGCAGACCCAGGTGTACTTCCACATCAGTAAATGGAAGAGAAGGAGCTATAGGGTGTCAGAGCCCAAGTATGATGAGGAGTCCACACCTAGAGGCAGCTCAGAGGAAGAGTCAGAGCACCAATAGGGTATCCAGATGAGCATGGTCTTGAGTGGGCTATCAGAGCCCAGGTGGAGCAAGGAATGGTAACACAAAGGAGCAGATCAGCTTAAACTGTCATATCCCAAATGGGGTGAGGAGGACATGACCATGTGGAGGCAGGTCAGAGCTAGTAGTGAGCCACATGAAGCACAAGTGGCCAGAGTCAGAGCTGGGTGAAAAGGTGACCATAGGAGATGGCAGTACAGAAGGGAGATCCATTGCATACAGAGAAATATATAAAATATCTACATCAAAGATAATGGAAGCCAAGTTTTTGAATGTGAGGAACAAAGTTCCAAATATGAACCCTCTGATGTTGGTTCATGTCAGACTAGAATCAGAGGCACGGATGTGAACTTGAGGTTTTCCATATACAAAGAAAAGTATAGAAATAAAGGGAGTGGTGGGTAGGTGTGGACCTGTGACTCCTTGGAGAAATGGTTAACTTCTGTGGGAAGAAAATAAGATGAGCCTGGAAAACCTTACATCAAAAAACAAGGATGAACTACAGAGCAATGAGGACAAATCGAAAGGACACAGAATTCAACCTGAAAGGGATCTGCGAACCAAACTAGAGGACACTTGTATTAGTCAGTGTTGTCTGGAGGAACAGAACCAATAGAAAACTCATATAATTCTAAGAAGAGATTTATTCGATTGGTTTACATGATCAGAGGTTGACTAGCCCCACAGTGCCCACCAGTAGCTGGAAAGCCAGGGAAATCAGCAGCCACACAGTGCAAGAAAATGGAAGCCTCAGAACAGCAGAGGTCCAATGATATAGCCACAGTCAAAGGTTGGAGACCAGGAAGCCCCTGGAGAGTCTCTCCTGGAGCCCAGGTTCAAAGACTAAAGAATCTGGAGTGGCAAATCTGGCAGCAACAATGCTTGGCTCCAGAAGAATTCAGCTTGTGTGGGAGCACCACCCCCTCAAGTCCATTTGGCTCTCTAGGTTATGGGATTCAGGACAGGTCTTCTCCCTCAGTTTGCTGATCTACGTGCCAAACTGCACCAGAAATGCCTTCACAAACACACATAGAAGTGCACTTTACCTGTTTTCTAGCTCTCTCTCAATCCAGTCAAGCTGATGACTGAGATCAACCATCACAATGATTAAAGCATGTAAAGAAAAAATAATGGCAATACGTTTATCCCACACATACAGAAGGAACCAACGCAGTCTACAGAGTTCATTTATAAATTAATAACTTGAAAGTGTGATGATGAATGAAATATTTATATTATTTCAAAATACTTAAGATTACAAATAATGATAAAGGGGAGAAATTGTGCACATATCACCTTTACTGTGACCCCTGATAAGCCATGTCACCAAGTAAAATCCTGTGTCATCTGAGGATGCAAGGAGAGACAAGTGCCTCACATCTGTGATTACTTAATAAAGGCCACTGGTCAAAGTTCAATTATGGGAAAACTGGGTTTGTTGTTGCTCTTGCTGCTGCTGCCGCTCTATAGCTGGAACAATGTAAAAGGATGAAGGAATTTTTACTCAGCTTCAGAGGTTTCAGTCCATGGTTGGATCTGAAGTGATATGGAATACCATGATTGAGATGGTGTGATAAACCAGAGCTGTTCACCTCATGGCAGTCAGGAAACAGAGAGTTAAGAAGGAAGTAGGGACAAGGTATAACTTTCCAGGGCATCATCTAGTGATCTACATCCTCCCATTAGGCCCCATCTCCAAGATTTCCACCACCTTCCAGTAATGCTATGATATGATGAATCCATCAAGGCATTGATTAGGTCAGAACCCTCAGGAGCCAATAACTTCCTGATGTGGTTTGAATATGAGAGTTCCCCCATAGGCTCGTGTATTTGAACACTTGGTTCCCCCTGATGGTGTTGTTTGGGAAGGTTATGGAACCTTTAGGAAGTAGAGTCTTGCTGAAGGAAGTGTGTTACTGGGGGTAGGCCTTGAGGTTTTATAGCCAAGTCCTACTTCCTGTTTCTCTCTCTCTCTCTCCCTCTCTCTCTCTCTCTCTCTCCCTCTCTCTCTCCTGACTATTGATGCAATGTGACCAACTGGCCTCCTGCTCCTGCCTCTATGCCTTCCCCAACATGATGGACTGTATCCCTTTAACTGTAAGCCATATAACCCTTTTCTCCCTTAAGTTGTTTTTTGTTGGGTATTTTGTCACAGCAATGAGAACAGCATTAGCACACACATCCCAAAAGCCCATCAACTGACAACCAAGGCTTTTGCACATTTCAGGTTCATACCATAGTGGCAGAGAGTCTCAAATTGAGGAATATACTAAATAACTGGCCTACAGTCTTTTAAAGTGTGAAAGTCGTGAAAATCAAGGAAAGACTCAAGAGCGGCTGTAGACTAAAGGAGGCCAAAGAGGGATAACACGAGATTCTCAGTTGAACTTTTTGCTGATGGTAAAGAACAGTATCTGGACAGTTGGTAGACCACAAGGGGTCCTGACAGTTCTATGGTAGTATGTGTCCCTGTTAACTTCCTGAATCTGGTGGCTGAACTGTGGCTATGTGAGAGACTTCACTGTGGGCAGTGTATTCAGGAAGAGGCAACATTGGGCCCACAACTTACTCTAAGAGGATCTAAAGAAAAGTTCTTATGTCATAGCTACCATTTTTCTGTAAATTTGTTTTTTGCTTAAAAAACATTTTAAGTGTATTTTAAAAGTCAGGACTAATATGGTGTGTGGCGACAACAGAATCCGTGGGAGCAGGCCCTCCTGAAAATATCAGGGTGTCAGCTGCTCTCTCCACTGAGTGAGAAAATACCACCTGGGCAGTTCTTTTGGCTTTTTTAAGAGCAGCTGGGCCTTTCCATTTAGTTCTGGTGTTTGGTTTTTTTTTTTCTCCACAATGGAGTACCAGCCCAGATAATATCCATTTGTTATTAGCAATGGTTTCTCTGGGCTTGAGATTTTATCCTATGATTAAGAGAGCTTAAGATATAAAAGGCCAAGCACCTGTCCACTGAGTTTCCTTGCTAGGGTGACATGCTGACATGTTGTCACCAGCTGACATCTGTAAAGTACGTGTGTTCAGTGGCATCTTGTTCAGAAGTCAGAGTTTCTGAAAGACAAGGACAGGTGATTGGAGCCAGGATCCCAGAGGATAGCAATTCATACCAGGAATAATTGTTAGGTACCTACTGTGATAGATTGAGAGTGACTGGGTTTCCTTGAAATTCATACACTGATATCTAAACCTCCAGGATGGTGGCATTAGAGGTGAAGACTTTTAAAGGTGATTAGGTCATGATGATGGAGCATGACAGTGTTAGTATCCTTATAAAAGAGGCTTTAGATACCTTTCCTACCCCTTCTGCACCATGTCGAGATACAATCAGAATATGGCTGTCTATGATCCAGGAAGACAGCCCTTGTCAGGTACAAAATCTACCAGAAGCCTTCTTCTAAGACAGTTATCATGAGGCATTGTGCTGTATAAATAAAACACCAGCTCTCACCCCGACAAAGGCACTTTTTAAAATTTTATTTATTTCATTTTATGTGTATGAGGGTACTGCCTGCTTGTTTGTAAGTGCACCCATGACATACAATGCCCACAGAGGTCAGAAAAGGGTGTCAGATCCCCTGGAACTAGAGTTAGGACTATTGTTAGCTTCCATGTGATGCTAGAAATCAAACCTGGATCCTCTGCAAGAGCAGCCAGTCCTCTTAACGGCTGAACCATCTCTCCAGCCCTGGGAGGCACTTTTTAAAGAAAACTTTGTTTGTTGTTTATTTGTTTTAGACATGTGGCCCTGTAGACTATAGCCCCAGCTGGCCTGGAACTTGCTATGTAGACCAGACTGGCCTCGATCTCACAGAGATACATCTGCCTCTGCTTCCTAAGGGCTAGGATTAAAGACATGCTCCACCACACCTAGCAAAGAAAACTTTTTAAAAATTGAGCTATAGCCAGGTGTGGTGGCACACGCCTTTAATCCCAGCACTTGGGAGGCAGAGGCAGGCAAATCTCTGTGAGTTCAAGGCCAGTCTGGTCTACACAGTTCCTGGACAGCTGGGGCTACAGGGAGACCCTGTCTCAAAAAGACCAAAAAGAAAATTGAGCTATAGCATACAAACATGAAAATTATGATCACAACACTTGGTAAATGCTCATAATCCAAATACATTGGGTAACCAGCAAGAAAATCAAGCAAGAGTGGGTCACCATCTCCCAGAACTCTCCTAGCTCCTTCTACCCCCAGCCAAGGCTACCATTCTCCTGATTTTAGACAAAGCTTAGTTTGGCCAGAAGATATCCACTTTCTACCCATTAGCTACATTTCTAACCCCCAGAGCTGTCAACCATTTCTTAAAAGATTTTTATTTTATGTATGTGAGTGTTTTGTCTGCATGTTTGTATACCACATGCATGCTTGGAACCCTCAGAGGCCAGAAGAGGACATGAGATCCCCTGGAATTAGACTTGCAGAGGTTGTGAGCTGCCATGTAGGTGCTGGAAACTTAACCCCAGGCCTCTGCAAGAGCAGCAACGATCAACTTTTAATGAATACTATTTCTTGCAGAACCATGTGGCTCTTCCTGAAGAC